GACACACACACACACACACACACACACACACACACACACACACACACACACACACACACACTTGAACGCACGCACCCACCTATGCACACATAATCTCTCACACATTCTCTCTTCCACACAAAATACACAGCCATACATTGATGATGACACCACAAACAGACACACAGTCACAAGCCCTGTATAATTATCAAATAATGATTCAGATAGATGCAGAATTAGTCTTCTGACAGTAGTCCGATGGTATACTACTGGTGTAACATGCTTTAAAGGCCGTTTAAATGTTTTTCTAAAAAGTAAGAGTTAACTGGATGACAAGAAAAAGGACCATGTGATCTTTCTTACTTACATTGCAGTAAAAGTAGTAGTACTGCAGAATCTAGGACACTTAACCTCTAATCTTGATCTCCCAGATTCCATACCCTTTTAGAATAACTTTAGTTATATTGTTTGATTGGGGATGGCAAAAGGGGATCAATAGTATCGCAAACTCATCCTTACCAAAGACAGATTTTCAGAAGTAGATGCCACCTCCTAAGAAGCAAATCTCTTTTGACCGAAAAGCTTCCAAATGTAACAAACGCACTCGTAGTTTTATTGGTTCTTGTTTATTCAAAACATTCGTCTATTTCGATAAAGCTGTCAATGTTATGCTGAATCATACTTAATTAACACAACGTCAAGTTATGCGAGATCACACAAGAACTCTGGCGCAAACGTGACTTCCTTCTTCGTTTCTCTTATACAATAACCACATAATCTTGTCTGAATCGGGAACAGGTTATGGCGTACTAGTAGGCACTGGTAGTGGTGCTTGGGTGGGGAGGAAAGGGGGGGGGGTTCCTAATATCTGCAGAAGCGTGAAAGTCAAATATTAAGTAGTGTAGACATTAATTAATTATACAGCAAGTTCATTTTGCTTGACACGTGTAGAAATCTTATTTGTCCATCCAATGGCGGTGGGTGGACCAAAATTTGGGTGGGGCTTTGGTTGCTTCCATTCCTTTAACCACAAAATAGCAAGCAATAAGAACAAAACAATGATGGTTTTTCTATACTTAAGGCGAGCCACGACGTTTTGAGAACCATTCAAATGAGAAGAGCCACCTTTGTCTTCCATCTCTTTGCTCTAACTAATTCTTTTGGATGGTGGGGACGAAGCAGTTTCCCCTCCAAATTTCTCTAATTAATTTTCATCTGATAAAAAGTTGCACTAAAAGTGGTTCAATGTGATTTATAACAGTTAAATCTCAGCGGCACAAACACAAACATGCACATACAGCGCTGCAAAATATTCAGTCTATGAGCTGGTTGACGAAAGTAGAACGCACCTAACAAAGATCAAATGAGCGCATAGGCAACTGTGTTACCAAAGATTCTCTACTACACGATCTTTGGTATTACTAGGGGAAAATGTGTCATAAACTTTCACCCCATTGTGAAGGGTAGGAGAGCGTGATCCTTTAGTACAGTGCTATTTTTTTCAAATCTTCTACCTTTTTACAAGAAGAGTTTCATTAAGGAAGGACCGTCGGAATGGACTCATCCTTTTCTGATCTCTAAAGAGACATCTGACTGGTTGTTAGACTACTATAGTTGTAAGCGGTGACAACAGTGACTAAATAAACGAGCAAGTCGCCAAGTTGATCACCCAATTGTGTACAATTATAACTGCTTATTTTAACAAGTTTCATTTACTTTGGAATAAAGTTGGGGCGGGGGTAGGGGGTTCCGCCGGTGACCCCTTCACTACCCACCGCCACTGTGTCCAATAAAACTTTGAAACAGAAACAACTTAGAGCTAATATTGCATCTACAAAATAATGACACGGTCCTTTTTAGCATAATAATAGGTCTTGATGATTAAGAAAGACTGAAAGTTGAAGCGTTCAAACCTACAGTGCAACCTGTCCACTACTCCTTTGATAAATGTTTCACAAGCTGAAAAGACTCATGTTCTTGTTCTTGTTCTTGTTTTTGTGCTTGTTCTTGTTTTTGTTCTTTTTCTTCTTCTTTGTGGAAGTAGTAGTAGTAGTAGTAGTAGTAGTAGTAGTAGTAGTAGTAGTAGTAGTAGTAATATGTAGCATTAACGCCATATCAATCTGGCCCACAACACTGTAATAACGAAATCTTATCTTATTCGGATTTGAATGTTCTCCAAAAAAGATAAACAGGGTTGACCTTTCGTGATTTAAAAAAATGTAAGAGTGGAGTTTGTATTAACTTAGAAAAGTCTGACGAGAATGCGCTCTGCCATAATGAAGATTCTGCAAAATAATCAGAAGGGCATTGGATACGTGTCAATGCTACTTAACGTAAAGGTCGTCTTCTGTGTCGTGCACAGGGCTTGATTTGACACGTCTTTTTAAAGCCTTACATCATGCCCGCTTAGTCGGTTTGAGAGCTTTTGTTTCTGTTACGAGATTGGACATTTCATGTTTTAGTTTCACCGAGATGATGCAATCCAGGTATAGTCTAGTTATATTTCTTTTCTTTCTTTGAATGTTTGATTTAGATAAGTTATTGAATATGTATTAAGAAAAGACATTTCAATCATTTCACAAGACAGAAGGAGAGCAAATGTTTAAGATTCGAGAAAATCGGGTCAAATTTCCAACTAAACACTTGAGATACGAGAAGGTCTAACTAAGGTTGATGGATTATTTGACACAAATGCAAGCAAATGCTGATGTGATCCGTTTTCATTCTTATTCGTCCATTTGGCCTTTTACGGAATGCCATAATTTTATCCAAAAAAAGAGGAAACATTTACTTCTTTTGTCAGTGGTCAAGGTTTCCGTAAAGCGCATTTTGTTTTCATTAGCTCTGGTCAGAAAGGAGACCAGCATCATTTCAATTTTACAATGTTCAGCTGGTATTCTGTTTTATAATAACATTTAATTACAACGTATAATTTTTGCTTACTACATTCCACAATAAATGCATACTGCGATGTAGTATTAGAGTAGATATTAGTATTTTAAACGGTGGTAACGAGGTTCTAATTTAACTGTCTTTTTATACATAATTAATTGTGGCAACTCTTTTTTCTATTGGCGCCTTGGTCTAGATAGGCACTCAACCTCAGGTGTACTTTGATGTTTAAGTGTGCTGGACGACTTGATCTCCAATAACACATGCTTAGAAATGGGTGTTGTTTTTTTAAGAAAAGATTTTAGGGATCAGTAGCTGCGAGATTAAGTCATAACCCCAACGACATATTTCTGATGAATGGACGAGAGACAAGGTACACCCTTTCATACCCTAACAAAGAAAAGGACATAGCTGAAGAAAGTGAACATAATTTCGAGTCTACACATTGTATAACTAGAACGCAGGTAGGAACGCTATTAAGGGTCAGTCAAGATTCCGCGCGCCTTCGTCTCCTGAATATCTGCCTGGCAGGTCACGTCTGTCTGTACAGCATAACAAAAGGGCCGGAGGTCTCCCGAATTAATTTAGCAGGAGTCAGAGTGACAAACGAGCTGTAGTTGCTCGGCTCGGTTTCTTGTCGTCTCTTTGTTTTGGCTCGTTACCAGCATGTAAGTTCGTTGCTTTATGGTCTAGTATGTTTGGACTCTTTTAGAGATACCAACATGCAAGTTCGTTGTTTTATGATCTAGTAACTATTAATCTCCAGGAATTAGAATCGCGCGCTCCCTTCGGCTGACAACCATTAGAAGTTGTTCACTACATATTTGCAGTATAAGCTCTTATCTACGAGTTTGCATGACAAATTCTTCTCAGGATTTTTGTGTGGTAAGTGGTAAGTGTGTGAAATAAGACCTCCCCCCTTTTTTCTTTGGAGGGGGGGGGGGTATTTTAAAATTATGTCTGCAACGATAGCTGTCTTAGACTCTCAAAGTAAGTGCTGTACTTTTTGCTGCAATGCAAATATCTTAACTGAACATTTATTCGCTTATTACGTGAAGGTCTGTTGGAGTACTTGTACTCGTAGTTCCATTTTAATGAAGAATGCAGTTCGGAAGTGTGCACTTTGAACTCTTAATTTTTTTAATTGGCAAGGTATTATAAATGTTATAATTTCGTGTTCAGTTTTTTTTCCGTTCTTAAAATTGTATTAAAAAACCATAATATTTTATTCTTACCCTGCTTTTTTGGCGGTTGCTGTTTTGTAAAAGAAATAAATAGAAGTAACAGAGAAGAGAATTCTGGTATTTCATTGTCTAAACATAATTAAGATGTACTTAATGAAGGTGTGTAAGACTCTCGCAATGTGTACACGGCTGTATGTGACAAATACAATGTTGGTTTTTAGATGCTAGTCCACTTGACAGTCTACCCGTACTGCGTCAGTTCGACATGGTTTGGGTTTGGATTAGAATTGGACCTACACTACACGTAGGGTTATGGTAAGGATTAGGGTAAGTGTTAGGGTTAGGGTTAGGGTTAGGGTTAGGGTTATGGTTAATGTTAGTGTTAGGGTTAGGGTTCGGGTTAGGGTTAGGATTAGGATTTAGGTAAGCCTTAAGGTTAGGGGGTGGGGGGGCGGGGCAATTAAAAAAAAACATTCTGACTGGTCCAGTGGTAGGCCGTCAAGCAGAACAAAAGCAACGCATTAAATCTTTAAAGGAACAGTCGCCGAGTTTTGTTCAGCTTTCGCTTCTCCTGACGTTGCTGTTTCATACTAAGAAAGTGGAGGGTTACTTTGGGGTGAGGGGGTGTTCTTGTTTTGGTTCATCGCCATTTGTAGTTCAGCTGGGCGTAGTATAATATGGTAATTAAATACAAGACATAATTGGAAGTTCTGATGCTCTGCACATTCTGTTACTTTAGCGTCTCCAAAGACGTTCTTTGGCGTCTTATATTTAGCTGACAAGACAGAAATTACTAAACAGCAACATCTTTAAAAGAGAGCTGTTTTTGGTTGCCATGCAGCCTTAAATTATAAATGAATTACAATGTGATGAGGACATCAGCTCTGCGGTTTGAGTAGCTGGTTGGCAGGTGCTCTGGTATGGTTTTGTCCTTTCCTATCAAGCATCTATCGTCCCTATCTCATCTCCTTCTTATCTTTGTATTTAATTCACCAGTAACACCTCTAATCTTCAGCGTTTGTGACCTACTTCTGTTGCAAGTACCGTAAAACTCTTACTAATATTTATTTTCGATTTGAACCTTGGCTTTCGAAAGTTAGTGTAATTGTATTCAGATAAAACGCACCTGCCCGTAGTACCGAAAGGAATGCAACTTCGTGTATTTTTACTTTTACCTCCCTTTCACAAAGACCAGGTCAACATGAACTATGTCAAATGTCAGTGTGATTGGTTTGCTGTCTTAATGGCGTGTGATCTGGTCTGGTTTGCTAGGCCTACGTCTTTCTATTCAAACATATTCGTATTATCTTCCCACCATCTTTTTTTTGCATGTTGCATTGTATGTTCTCTCTCTCTCTCTCTCTCTCGCTCTC